CAAAGGAAAATCTAACATTAGTTTCAAAATTTAGGTTTGCGCATGCGCAGTTCCAACTTTCTTATTTAGAAAAGCATTGAAATGAAATTCTTCTCATAAACTGAAATTGAAGTAGCACGTCAAAAATGGATTGCCCATGTGCAACGCTATCTTTCATATTTGTGGGCGGATTTTTACGATTTTAACAGAAGTTGCATCTTACAAATGGTAAATGAATGCAAGTGGAAATGCGCTTTATGTAAATCGTTTACGATTACTTTTTAACTTGTTGTAATTTCTTTTGTTTGTTTTCTGTATTGTGTGTCAGCACTGCCTTTCATCGTTGTGGATATTGGTTGGTGATCAGATTCTATTCTTTGGTCTACTTGAAAATTTTTTAAGTGTTCTTTCCCTTTTTCATTTAGAATAATATAGTCTATTACCGACTGCCCTCTGCTTCCTATGTATGTATATTCTCCCTCTTCGTCTTCTTTCACGTTTCCGTTGAGGATGTACCACCCTTTTTCTTCTATGAAGTTAATCAATTCTTTCCCTTCTTTATTTGTCACGTTGTCTTTTGATTTTCTTTTGTTGTTCAGCTCGTCTACGATCCTTTTCATATTCATGTGATTGTATAATGTAAATACTCTACGCTATGAGAAGTAATTGAGTACAATTTTGTGGGGGATTTCTGGCGAAATCCACCAAAATGCGAATTACGGGTGAACGGGATGTCGGATGTGGGTACCGACAAAGGGAATATGGTAGCCCCCGACAAGATCTTACTGATGGTGGATCCAACACTTCAAACGCAAATTGTGGGTGCACGGGACGACGGAAGCGGGTAGCTACCAACACAGGAAATGTGGTAGCCCTCGACAAGAACTTATTGATGGTGGAGTCAAAGTAGGCTAATAGTACCTACTGATCTGCCACACCAAAATGCGCTGAAGTTCCTTCGATCTCACACAAGTACTTTGATAATTTTTTACTACCCGGTTTTTTTTTTGTGCAACTCAACTCACATGTAACACCCTGTGTAGACTGACCACACAGAATTCAGTTCATTAGCCATCGACCGGCACTTACAGTGTAATCACTTGTTCGTTGGATTTCTTCCCGACCACTATCTTAATGAGGGTAGGACCCCTCGATTTACTTTCGGTAGTGACGCGTAGCTTTGCGATGGTGATCTAATGCGATACATTGTAAACAACAACTGGATGTTCAACGACACAATAAGATCATATCATTGGGTTTGCGTATTTGGTAAGGACGGAAGAAAAAAATAATTTGTTAATAAAATAGAGAAGCAGTCTTTATTACAGTGAAAGGTTATAATTATAAGGTGATTTTGCCACCGTAAAATAAATAAATAATTTTTATAGGTAGGTACATCATCTCAAGCCGCATGGTTGTGAGAAATCGGTTATCAACCGCAGCAAACTAATCCACCGCCATAACAAGGAGCGCTAAAACATTTACATTTGTAGTGCGTAATAAATTAATTGGGGTAACTTACATAGCCCGCTCGCCATCATGGCAATATTCTACGCATCTACGACAACCGCGACCAAGTACTTCCACCGCACTCAACACAAGTATTATTGCAACGAAGATCAACAACGAGAGTTTCATCTTGAATATGAGCTACAACCTAATACTGGGCTTTAATAGTCGACAAGCTTGTAGTTCCCCTATTTTCTGGTTGATGACACGACCTGCTCTTAAAGTGAACGTAGATAGGGAACGTACTTACGTACTATTGCGAAACGCTTGTTATGGAAAATAAATGATAAGAGTATTGGGGGATTTTTTCAATTTGAAATGTTGCAATTCTGCATTTCTTTTGATTTTTGGGCTTGATGTTATAGGTTTTGTCGCAGATCGGCAACCAAATGTCCAAATTGGAAGTAGGTACATCCACATCGTAGAATTTGGATGGTGGTCAGTACTTCCGCCAAGCCAACAGCAATAACGCGGTTTTTCTAAATTGCATTATCTTTACTGGTTCATTTTTGTTGATAATAATAATAATAATATGTCTTTATTTCAGAAAAGGCGCAGTTCAGCCTACGGCTGCTCTTGCACTTAACCTGATTATAGTGACATTTGCGACAAAAACAAAAAAAAATCAAGCAATAATTATAAAAATAACATTAAAAGATAATTTGACGATGACAGTGAAATGGATATTATACGAATACGAATGATGGCATTATCTTCTGGACCCACATCTTAGCGATCTTTCTGGAGTTTTATGCGTTGAACGGTCAATTCAAGATACAATTCGGAGTAATAAATGCCTTTTTCCTCTATGGCGAAACGCACCGGGCTCAGATTCAGGGTAAAACTAAAACACCCTTGAAAGGTATCAGACAGTGATTGTAGTTACAAAGTGTCTCAAAAAATGGAGCATTTCGGGAAGAAAATGGGATCGACTTCCGACTTGGTCTATGATGATAGGACACACGCTTCACAATTTACACTGTTTATAGCAATTCGGACATTTGGAGTATACAGAACAAGAAGTTTTTTATTCAAACTTTCAAACGGTAGTTGGCTTGGCGTACAGCTTGGGACTTAATATCGAACCTTGAGGGAGGCCCCCTACACGTTACTCGTTTTTTGCGTATCTGATAAAGACCTTTTTACACCATACGTTATACCGGAATCATAAATTTTATTATGTTATTTTATGGTAGACGTTAAATTGACATTTTAATAGATTTGAATGAGTAGGCCAAGTCGCTCTTTAACCGTGAGGGTAGATAGATGATTATGCATTCTAACGACATTTGTCATTCTTATTTCAAATGAGAACGGGAACCCAATATAAAATGACGTTTAAAACATATGATAATGTCCGCTACGGCAGAACCTAAACTTACTATTTTTGACTTGTAAATTAAATGCAGAATTGTCAGAAGCTTTACAATGATTTATATGGCTCCTGCTATAAAATAAAGTTTTGTATCATAGTATTATTTTATTTTTGGTCTTTATTTTAAGTGGGCGGGGTGTTCAGCCAAGCACCACTGCGCAACATAGGCCGGTTGAATTTATCGTAGGAACCAATTCGGAGGTTTTATATAGCATTACCAGTAGGTACTCTGTATTTCGTGGAAGGTATCCAACAGAAGTTCTATAAAATTATGCGACAAGTCCATCAGCAGAAGATTATTTATGTGATTTTGTCCGGTCCCGGAAACGAATTTATAGATTTCCTCTAATATACTAATATATACAGGGTGTCCATTATGTATGAAATATAGTGTATATCTCGGTAAATCCGGTTTTATGGTTCAGTAGTAGAGCGTTTTGGACTATAAATCCGGAGGTCGGGTGGGTTGAGGTAAATTTTTCATCTGTGGCAGAGATGGGAATTACCTTATATACAAGTTTCGAGCATTCTGCCGGCTACACCGAATTAGGTTTTCCTGCAGTTTTCCTAATTCGTAAGGTAAATACCGGAGTAGTATAGACCAACTTAAGACCTTCTGCATAGGCACCTCTAAAAAGCATTATGCGGGTCACTCTGTAATTGGGCCCAAGCCCAGCACAAGAGAATAATAATAAATATTGACTGTATACAAAATCTTACTATATGAAAGTTGTTTAGCGTTTTATTTCCCATAATAAGGCAGGATTCCATTGTTTTTATTTCAGAAAACAAATGAATAATGAAAAACAATTGAATTTTTTTAAATAGCAGTGCACACTTTCAGTAGGCTCATTGGACAGAGTTTTTTTTTCTCTTTTCAATGACGTACCACGTTAGCGCCCGAGTGGAGGAAATGAATTATTATTTCAAGTTTTTTGTAATAGGTTACGCCACTGCCTAGCAGTTAATTGTCATCGTTTTGAACGTTCATTGCGACGAAAACCATTTTGCTGCTAATTTCATTTTGTCTTTAAGGTTTAATAAGAAACGTACACGTTCATTTGTTTTTTTTATGTAGGATATCTGGCTTAATGTTATTCATCAAATTATATTAATTTTTTTTAAATATTCTTAAATAAGCGTACTAACTTGCTATATCATCGAAAAGAGAAAAAAATCTCTATCAAATGAGTGTAATGAAAAGATGCACTGCCATTTAAAAAAATTCAATTGTTTTTCGTTACTCATTTGTTTTCTGAAATAAAAACAACTGAATTCTGCCTTATTATGAGAAATAAAATGTTACACAACTTTCATATACAGGGTGTCAACTTGCAATCAGTCATATTTTCCAAACTAAAGAAGATATTGAAAATCGCGCAAAACTGTTTCGGGAGTATCGAGGGGAAACCAGAATGACGTATTTAAAAATCCTAAATGACAACCCCATATTTGTGACGCATCGTTGGAAAGCTACTGAAAAATGCTTTTCAGTGGTACCAATAAAGTCAATTAAGACAATTTAACAAAAATTTGATAATTACGTAACAACAAAAAATAAAAATTAAACCATGCCTATGTTCAAGATTTGGTTGCTAAATTCAAAGAAACGGGATCTGTTATCAATAAAAAAAGAAAGCAACCAAGATTGCTTAATGAAGCAGCTCAAGTTGAAGTTCTTGGCCAATTTGCCATAAATCCCTCAATGTCAACATTTAGTTTTTTTTGTTAATTAAACATTTTTCTTAAATTGTATTAATGAATAAGTATTGACTTTATTGTTACCGCTGGAAAGCATTTTTCAGCAGTTCTCCAACGATGTGTCACAAGTTTGGGGTTGCCATTTAGGATTTTTGAAGAGGGGGGGCTGAGGGCTTAAGGGGGGGGTTGTCACTCGTAACGTCATTCTGGTTCCCCATCGAAACCCCCGAAACGGTTTTTCGCGATTTTCAATATCTTCTTTAGTTTGGCGAATATGGCCGACTGCAAGTTTTACATTGACACCCCTTATAAAAATTTTGTATACATTCGATACTTAAGTACCGAGATTTATACGATATTCCATACATAATAAGCACCCTGTATAATATACTAATAGTATCATTCATGTTTCCAGAAAGGATAAAGTTACACTTACCAGCAATTAAAGTATAAGACAATCCTAACACGGTTCGGAATGAGTCTACATTTACGGAGCCTTCCCCATCGATGAAAAGAACCGCTTCGCACGAAAAATTGTATAGAACTGATTCAGCATCTCGTGGGGAGGCTGGTAAGAACCGTCTTGAAGCGAAACAAGGCGGGAAACATTATTACGGCGGTATTGGGACCTTCTAACGAGACTGGTATCCGTCAACGGCAACGAAGAAGCGAGTGAAGCACCGTCCGAACGTCTCGTTGTCCTTCGCAAGAAGGATCAATAGGTGGAGGCTGACTGTTTCAAAGGCCAAGAATCTCTTACACCAACAGGCGCGGGATGCCCTAGGGGATGCCTTTAATGCTGGTTCAGTTACCAAAAACGGACGGGTACGGATGCGAGCCGAATGTCTCAAATGGAGGACCATCGGCAGCGTTGTCAAGGCGAACATGTACTGGATGTTGCGCTTCGACGCAAAGAGGATTGTGACTTCCACACGACTTTAGTTTGAATTCTGTCTGCTTTAGATGTTTTCTGTATTTTTGTGTTGTTTGTTCTGTCCAGATTTGTCTCGTTTTTGTAATTTCTTTTGTTTGTTTTCTGTATTGTGTGCCTTTCATCGTTGTGGATATTGGTTGGTGATCGGCTTCTATTCTTTGGTCTACTTGAAAATTTTTTAAGTATTCTTTCCCTTTTTCATTTAGAATAATATAGTCTATTACCGACTGCCCTCTGCTTTCTATGTATGTATATTCTCCCATTTCGTCTCCTTTCACGTTTCCGGTGAAGATGTACCAACCCTTTTTCTTCTACGAAGTTAATCAATTCTTTCCCTTCTTTGTTTGTCACGCACGAACTTATAAATTAAGATGGAATGCTGATCAAACAGTTGCATAGAGGTAGAAATGGCCCTAGCATGGGCGCGGCCATGATGTGCACTTTTTAGTTATTTTGTAGCGGACGAAATTTCCGGAATTAACTTCTAGTAATTACGTTGCACAAATGTGCATAACACGCTGAACCGACAAGTAGTTTAAATATTAAGGGTCTATTCTTTAACCGACAAGGGTGTTATTTACGAGTTAAGGAATAGAAGCTTTCATATAATTCATGACTTCCTGGGAGTCATCCGAAATGTACTTTGTTGCACGTGTTACACAATCGGTAGTTTCGAACAGTAGGTACACAGCACTTGTTAAGATAAGTCGAGTTCGGTTCAGCGATTCTTAAGATTCATTTTTGATTCTAAAATAAATTATATTTTAGTTGTATTTATTTTACTTTCACCCGTATCCACAACACCTACCACAATTTTCTAGGGGAATTTTCCTAGTGCTGAAGTGTTGAGACTATTGCAACCTTGGAAAATGACATGTGATGTGCCACAGCAATTTATTTAGGAAACGTGAGGTTAATACTTGTTTATTAGTTGATTTGAATTTCGCGCCAAGTGAGTGCACATCATGGCTGCCCTCATGTCATTTGTCAATTCAGCATTAGCAGTCCATCTTAATTTATAAGTTCGTGTTGTCACGTCATCTTTTGATTTTCTATTGTTGTCTTCTTGTTCTTCTTGTTCTTCTTCTTCTGTGCGAGCGATCCATGACCCTTCCTTGCCTATCCGTGCGTTTAGATCCCCTCCTATTATTATAACATCATATTCCGATTCTTCTATTATGTTGTTCATGCTTTTCATATTCATGGGATTGTATAATGTAAACACTCTACGCTATGAGAAGTAATTGAGTACAATTTTGTGGGGGATTTCTGGCGAAATCCACCGAAATGCGAATTGCGGGTGAACGGGACGTCGGAAGCGAATAGCTACCGACACAGGAAATGTGGTAGCTCTCGACAAGATCTTATTGATGGTAGAGTCAAAGTTGGCTAATAGAATACTGACCTGCCACACAAAAATGCGCTGAAGTTCCTTCGATCTCACACAAGGATAAATTTTTACTACCCGGTTTTTCTTTGGTGCAACTCAACTCACAATGTAACACCCTGTGTAGATTGTGTGATCACTTGTTCGTTGGATTTCTTCCCGACCACTATCTTAAATGAGGGTAGGTCCCCTCGATTTACTTTCGGTAGTGACGCGTAGCTTTGCGATGGTGATCTAATGCGATACATTGTAAACAACAACTGGATGTTCAACGACACAATAAGATCATATCATTGGGTTTGCGTATTTGGTAAGGACGGAAGAAAAAAATAATTTGTTAATAAAATAGAGAAGCAGTCTTTATTACAGTGAAAGGTTATAATTATAAGGTGATTTTGGCACCGAAAAATGAATAAATAATTTTTATAGGTACATCATCTCAAGCCGCATGGTTGTGAGAAAACGGTTATCAACCGCAGCAAACTAATCCACCGCCAAAACAAGTAGCGCTAAAACATTTACATTTGTAGTGCGTAATAAATTAATTGGGGTAACTTACATAAATCGCTCGCCATTATGGCAATTTGGTACGCATCTACGACAACCGCGACCAAGTACTTCCACCGCACTCAACACAACCATCATTGCAACGAAGATCAACAGCGAGAGTTTCATCTTGAATATGAGCTACAACCTAAGCAGCTGGGCTTTAATAGCCGACAAGCTTGTAGTTCCCCTATTTTCTCACAAACGGAATTTTAAAAACGGATTGGCTTGCGCTTTATTGGTTGATGACACGACCTGCTCTTAATCAAGTGATGATAAGAATGGAATTACCAATATTTCCCTTCAGTTTGTTGAAATTACCGTTATCTATACGTGAACAAAAATAGTGAACGTAGATAAGGAACGTACTATAGCATTAAAATTGCGAAACGTTTGTTATGGAAAATAAAGATAAGAGTATTAGGGGATTTTTTCAATCTGAAATATTGCAAAGTACCGATTTATTTTGATTTTTTGTCTTGATGTTATAGGTGTTGTCGCAGATCGGCAACCAAATGTCCAAATTGGAAGTAGGTACATCCACATCGTAGAATCTGGATGGTGGGTCAGTATTTTCGCCAAGCCAACAGCAACAACGTGGTTTTTCTGAATTGCATTATCTTTACTGGTTCATTTTTGATGGCATTATCTTCTGGATCCACATCTTAGGGAACTTTCAGGAGTTTTATGCGTTGAACGGTAAATTCAAGGTACAATTCGGAGTACTAAATCCTCTATGGCGAAACGCATCGGGGTCAGATTCAGGGTAAAATGAAAACCCCCTCGAAAGGTATCAGACAGTGATTGTAGTTACAAAGTGTCTCACAAAATGGAGCATTTCGGGAAGAAAATGGGATCGACTTCCGACATGGTCTATGACGATAGGACACACGCTTCACAATTTACACTGTTTATAGCAATTCGGACATTTGGAGTATACAGAACAAGAAGTTTTTTATTCAAACTTTCAAATTGTAGTTGGCTTGGCGTACAGCATGGGACTTAATATCGAACATTGTGGGAGGCTCCCTACACGTTTTTTGCGTATCTGATAAAGACCTTTTTACGCCATACGTTATACGCCGCCTGCATCGGAATCGTAAATTTTATTCTTTTATTTTATAGCAGAAGTTAAATTGACATTTTAGTATATTTGAATGAGTAGGCCAAGTCGCTCTTTAACCGTGAGGGTAGATAAAGTGAAACAGATGATTGTGCATTCTAACGACATCTGTCATTCTTATTTCAAATGAGACCGGGAGCCCGATATAAAAGGAAGTTCAAAACATATGACAAGCCTATTATTTTTGACTTGTAAATTAAATGCAGAATTGTCAGAAGCTTTACAATGATTTATATGGCTCCTGCTATAAAATAAAGTTTTGTATTACACTATTATTTTATTTTTGGTCTTTATTTTTAAGTGGGCGGAGTGTCAGCCAAGCTTGTTCTACCAACCCAACCCACTATGTATTACAAATGTCTATGCTCGAACCCAGCTTAGTCACTGCACCACTGCGCCACATAGGCCAGTTTAATTTATCGTAGGAACCAATTCGGAGGTTTCACATAGCATTACCAGTAGGTACTTTGAATTTCGTGGAAGGTATCCAACAGAAGTTCTATAAAATCATGCGCCAAGTCTAGCAGAAAATTATTTATGTGATTTTGTCCGGTCCCGGAAACGAATTTATAGTTTTCCTCTAATATACTAATATATACAGGGTGTCCATTATGTATGAAATTTAGTATATATCTCGGTAAATCCGACTTTATGGTTCAGTGGCAGGGGCGCCGGAAGAAAATGCGCTAGGGAGGGGCCCTTACATTTTTGGAATAGAAAATGTTACCTAACTATTTTTAAATTAGTAAATAGGTACATATTAGACACAAACAAAACAAGAATAAAAGTAACAAGTTATAGTAGTTTATTGAAAAAAAATGACATTAATAGCACTATATTATAAAATTTGCTGTGGTTAGCACAGGTGCCACCCGCACACCGGCGCATGCGCGTTCTACCTTCTTTTGGGTCTAACAATATTTGTACCAAATTTGGTTCCAATCGGTTCAGCCGTTTAGCCGTTAATGAGAGTTTAACACACTTGCGCATGCGCTATTCTCCCCGAAAGCTTTTCAGCTTTTCCTTTTATATCTAAGAATCTGTGTACCAAATTTGGTTACAATATCAGTACACTACAGACAGACCGACAACATCAAAATTTTGTTGGGATCGGAATCCTGGTGCTTCGAAAGGTGTATTTCCGTAAAAAAGTGGGGGAAGGGGCATTTTTTACCCCAATGCAATACCTCCTTTACTAACGTGCGGGTGATAAAAATTACAGTGCGTAAGGCAAATTCGAGGGCAAATTGTAACATTAAACTGTTTCTGAATAATTGTTCTACTCAAAACTATAACAAATTACCAACCATAATGTTATTGATTACAATGTTGAATAGTAGGATAAAACAATTTAATTATTTCGAAAGAATAAAAATTCCTCTTACGTGATGGTTTTGTACGTCTGCCTGTCCGTCTGTTCCTCGTCTTAACTCGAGAACGAAAAGACACAGAGATGTCAAACCTTCGCCAATCCATTTCTACGAGTTCAAGGATCAGTGCTATTGAATATGAGCCGGATTAAAAGTCTGATTTCCCAATACGAACTGAGTAACAAAAAATTCCCCCACTGAATCGTATGTGATTCTTCGTATATTCATCACTTTATGTGCATCTATTCCATAACAAGTTAAAAACGTGGTCACTCGAGACCGACGGAAGCGCATTTTCGCCGCACCGCACAGAATCAGTAATAGCTCGGGAAGGAAGAGACTAATCCAAAAAGTCTTTTGTCGTTCTGGTCTCGAGGCTGTGCTACACCGTATAAGAAAGAAACCACAAGGAAAAAGCTTATAGTGGAGGACTAGTAATGGTAAAAACGGACAAAGCGCGGACAATAGCGTTCATTTTACTTTTGGAAAATGCGCTAAAAAGCGCCGAACCGAAATATGTAAGTGACATGACAGAGTATTGTCATTGACGTTTTTCCAAAACAAACAGCTAACTTGCGGTCTTCGGTAAATTTAATCTCTGTAGTCTAAACTCTATACAATAGGGCAACTTTATGGACATTGAGGTAACTCAATAAGGTTATAAAAGGTTTACCTACTTTTGCTTTGTCACCGAACAGCGATGGGACAGAAAAAGGTGGCTGTGTTCTGGTTTTATTGTGAGCTTTCATCATTTTCTGAAATGGATTAAGTGATTTCTCAAATCCCAGGGAGGGCCCGGGCCCCTCCTTGCCCTTTAGTAGCGGCGCCCATGTTCAGTGGTAGAGCGTTGGACTATAAATACTATAAATTACCTTAGACCAGTTTCGAGCATTCTACCGGCTACTCCGAATTAGGTTTTCCTGCACCTCTAAAAAGCATTATGCGGGTCACTCTGTAATTGGGCCCAAGCCTGTTGAGGGCCCAGAACAAGAGAATAATAATAAATATTGACTGTATACTAAATCTTTCTATATGAAAGTTGTTTAGCATTTTATTTCCCATAATAAGGCAGCATTCCATTGTTTTTACTTCAGAAAACAAAAGAATAATGAAAAACAATTGAATTTTTTTAAATGGCAGTGCACATTTTCAGTAGGCTCATTGGATAGAGATTTTTTTTCTCTTTCTCTCGACGGACAATTGACCGACAGGGTTTTCTCATGGCCATCAGCAA